CACACACGCACACGCACACGCACACACACACACACACACGCACACGCACACGCACACACACACACACACACACACACACACACACAAACGTGTGCGCGCACGCGCACGTGCACGCATGCAGAAGCGCGCGCGCGTGCCCACACACACACACACACACCACCTCTCCTAGGGAGGAGATCAAGAACCGCAACAGTGAGGAGTACAACATCCTGAAGATTCAGCTAGAGGGGATCATCGAGGAGCTGGAGGGGCACTTTGAGGCGGTGAGTCAACACGATCTGAGGGGCTGGGGTTGCACAGCAAGACCAGGCCTGGAGGTGGGACGGCGCGTGTCAAGATGCGACAGGGGTTGGTGTCTCTGAGGAAGGGATGCTGCGCTTGCGCCCTCGTGCCAGTGCAGACAGTGCACGCTGTCTGCGCCCTTGTGAGGCGGCACATGCTGTCTGCTATGACCGCTGCGCTGCCTGTACACGTACTGACGCCTAGAAGCTGCGCGCGCGCCCTGCAGGCGCACAAGGCGTACCTTGACAGCACAGAGCACCGCACCAAGGCGTGCAAGGGGCTGCAGGCCAGCGACGCCCAGGCGGCGCGCGTCATCGAGCAGCGCATGCGCAAGCTCGCCAAGCTGCAGGTGCGCCTGGTCCACACGCCGGGCGCCTGTCCAGCGTTGATGACAGCGCCGATGGCTGCTGGGCTGGTTTGGTTTCCTGCTGTGGGACACCATGATGTTGCGAGGGTTGTGGCGGGGAGTGCACAGCAGCAGGGCTTCGTCGCATCCCCGGCTGGGTGCTGAGAGCGGCGACGGCGGCCACGTCTATCCGGGCCAGTTAGGCGCCAAGGGGCCGTTGTGCGCCATATCAGCGAGGTGCAGCGCAGCCGCCTTGTGTTCTTCTGCATTCTGCACAATCAATTCTTGAAAAATCTGAACCCGCAGGAGGACATCCACCAGTGGCGCGCCAAGATCGCCAGCAGCGGCAGGGAGTGGGCAGAGCGCAACGGCGCGCTGCGGAGGGAGAAGGAGCTCATGGCGCGCCACTACTCGCAGCTCAGGGCGGCCCTCGACGCCACCAGGCGCGCGCCGCGTGCGCACCTTGGCGCCTTGGCTCGCAGCACAGCAGGCGGGCGGCGGGACCTTGCCGCGGGGCCCTCCTTATGGGAGCTGCAGACCCACAGCGGGGACGCTTGAGGTTTGGGTTCTGCCGTTTTGCACCCTACTGAATTCCAATGCCCTTGTAGATGCGTTGTAAGAACCACTGAGTTTGTGTATGGACACTAAACTGGATCCTTCTCACCCCCTCCCCAACCAAGCGGCCCGCAGGCAGCAGCAGGCAGAACGTTTGAAGTCCCTCAGCGTGGCCAGCGCGGCGGCCACCGCGGAGCTGCAGCGCAAGCTGTCAAAGGCGGAAGCCGTGCTGAAGCTGGCCGAGGTCTGCCGGCGGCTGGAGACGGAGCAGGAGAAGGTGCTGCCGTTCTGGAGCTTGGACGAGGCGGTGCCGGTGGCGGCGACGGCGCTGACGTCATCGATCGTCAGCGGCGGCAGCGGCGGCGGGGGTGGTGATGGGGAGGGTGCGGAGAGGGGTTTGGCAGCAGCGGAGACTGGGAATGAGGGGGCCGCACACGACCAAGGTGGCCAAGTGGGGCAGGGGCAGCAGGACGAGGAGGAGGGCCGGGCACTGGCGCTGGCCGGCGGGCGGCCCAGCATCGGCAGCTGCGGCGGCGGCAGCGGCGGCCACGGTGGCAGGGGCCGCGTCAGCGCGGTGGGGCTGGACGATGAGGGCAACGAGGTTGAGGAATGGGATTACCTGAACAGGTGATTAGTACCTGTTGTTGTGGGTGAGGGTGGGAGGGGTGAGCGCACAAGTCACGTGGAAAAAGATGCATGCCAAGTCATGAGCACCAGTTTGCGCGTGCAAGCGTCGCACACACATACACACATAACAAACACACACGCACACGTTGCGCGACACCCTTCCTTGCCATTCAAGGTTTTTCAAGCGCTTCAACAAAGCCCTGTTGGACAGGGCAGCCATCGACAGAGAGCAGGCCCGCCTGGCCAAGGAGAACGAGGACCTGCGGCAGCTGCTCAAGAGCTTCCTGGACGGCATATCGGTCAACGACGCTGTCATCAACAACCCCGCCAACCCGCTCCTGGTGGTCAACCAGCGGCTGCAGCTGACGTTGGCCGAGCGCCGCAAGGGCGGGGCGGCGGCCGCGGGGCGGGGCGCCGGCGGCTCGGGCGGCTCGGCAGGGCTTGTGATTCAAGGGCAGCAGCAGGGCGTGCAGGTCGCCGGCCGGTGATGCCGCGTTGATGGATGTAAATCCTGCAATTTCAAACCTACCCTTGTCAGATGGTCAACATAGACGTAGCCCGGAGCAATGCAGGAGCACTGCTTCTGACACACATGCTCCCTTTCCTCATGCATGATGTGAAGCGCTACTTCAAGTAGTTGACCCAGCACTCCTGTGTCACTGGGTGACCAGACCGTGAGAACGAACGATTTGACCACGGTCCGCAGCACTCACCGTAGACGTATCCGAGTAATGTATGAGTTTTCACATTCAATGATGCCATGTGCGGCCCCCGGTGTGTCAACGCTTCCCAAGGTTGTCCTAAGCGGGGCCCCAAGGACTTTGCGACGCTCAGAACACCGTATGATGCAAGTCTCACCACATCTGGCCGCGTGCACATCGGCGGCCAGTGCCATTGGCGTGGCTGCGTTCAGCACGCCGGACGCACTCGTTGGCTGCCACTGCTCAAAGTCGACAAATGCAGCGCACGCGGCGGGCCGCCGCAGAGCAGCCTGGCGCTGATGCCGGCACGCCTGGCATTGGGGAGGGCGCCCCGGGGCCGAACACGGGGCTGCTCATGCCCCGCGGCCGCGGTGCGGGCCGGGGCCGCGGCGGAGGAGCGCAGCACGGGCAGCGGCAGGGGCTAGAAGAGGAAGCAAGCCATGTTGGGCCCCAGGGACAGCAGCAGCAGCAGCAGGAGCAGCTACATAATGAGGGTGAGGCAGGGGGCGTAGCATCGGGCGGCGAGGAGGAAGAGGACGAGGAAGAGGGCGAGGAGGGCGAGGAGGAGGAGGAGTCACCAGGTGGTGATGACGACGGGGACGACGACGAGTATGAGTCAGAAGAGGATGACGACGAAGAGGATGACGAGGAATACGAGGCAGCCGCAAAAGCGCGCCCCGCCAGGCCGCGGGTGGGTGCTGCAGGGTCGAGCGCATGGGGTGGGTTCCTGGGGATGCTGCTGGTGGCGGGCCGTGAGCCGCGATGCGGGGCAGCTTGCGCGTTTGCTGAATGCTTGGCCGGCGCTGGTCGGGTGTCTCTGGAGACATTCAAACACACAAAGATATTTGGTCGGATGAAGCGGCCGCACCTGCCCGGTGCCTCCGAGAGCAGGTTGCTGCGCCGCCCGGCGCCGCGCGTGGCAGCAGGGGCGGCCGATCCGGCGGCGCCTCGGAAGGGGCTGGCGGCAGGGGCGGCGGCCGGAAGCGCGTGCGCAAGTGGACGCCCGCCGAGGTGCGCGGGCGGCCTGGTTACAGCGGTACGTTGTATGGCTGAGCAGAGCCATACATGTGAGGCGCTCGACCCGCATAGTATCACATCGGCTTACGGCGTCCTTGCGGCACGCCCGCCTGTTTGTGCGCCCATCTCAAATCAGCTTCTGGGATCCTTGGACAGTGTCAGAGCGGCTTAAACCCTTTTGCAGTATGCAATCGTGATTTGCACCCCAACCCCTGCTGCACAATCAACATGCAACGCGCCCGCAGCATGCCAAGCTGGCTCAGCTGGTGGAGCAGTTTGGGCCGGACAACCGGAGCTGGCAGCGCATCGCTGCGCTCATCCCAGGGTGCGCCGGTTGGGTGGGGCTGCCGGCGCGCAGCAACGGTGTTCCAGGAGGCAGGATTGCCCCCCCCCGACCCAACCACCTTGTCGCTTGACAAGAATGTGCCAATAGGCATTTGAACCTGTGCAAGTCCTGCAGGTCTGATTGCTGCTGGATGCACTCGCGCCGCGCTGCTTGCGCCGAGCCTCGCACGCCGCGAGCCCCACCCTCACGACCCCCACACCACGTCCGCGCCCTCTCCACGTCCCGCCCGCAGGCGCAACGGCAAGCAGTGCAGGGAGCGGTGGCTCAACCACCTCAGGTGCCTGCATCCCGGGGCGCCGGCCGCCTTGCGTCCGGACCCACGCCTGCGCAGCCCCCAGGCCTGCGAACTTGCGCTGCCCCGCGCCCACCTCCCCCTCCTGATCCTCCAGCCAGCTGCGCTCGCAGCACCTCGACCCCGCATGCGCACACTCACACAATAGGCACACTGCAATCAAAAGAAAAAAACTGATTACCCCTGCCTGCCTGCCTGCCTGCCTGCCTGACATGGCGCACCTGTCCCCCGGCCCCCCACCCCGTGCATCCCAGGACCGACATCAAGCGCGGCGGCTGGACCACCACAGAGGAGCTGGTCCTCTGCCAGTGGCACTCCATCCTGGGGCCCCAGGTGCCGGCTCGACTGCGGAGGTCTAGGGGCCGCGCCGGGACGGCAATGGCGGTCCACACATCCGGGCATGCGCGGGCTCGGCCGCGCTGCTGAGCGCGTGGGAGCGCGTCAGCTGGGGCCTGTGGCTGGGTCTCTCGCCCGCCATTACTGGCACCTGGCACGCGGTGCTTGACTGTGTTGACGTACTACACAGTATTGAAGCGCTTGTGGCATGCAGTTCTTGGACCTGATGCCCTGGTCCCTGCTCTGTGTTCCCTCAAGCATGTGCATGACAGACGCATGCATTTCATAAGCACAAACGCACAGCACACACAGCATTACAGCAAATTCAGCACAGGCGGATGCACTCACTCCTTTTGCAAACGCACACATGCTCACACAACACACACGCCTGATGTGTACAGTGGTCCAAGATCAGCAAGAAGCTGGCAGGTAGCTGGGACGGGATTGTGAGCCAGGCTGCTTGCCTTCGCCCATATGTTTGCGCACTCACGGGCTTGCACATTTATGCTTGTGTGCTGTTGCAGGGGCTGACTGCGTGTTCTGCAGTCATCACCTTGCGCAGCATTTGAGTCGGCCGCAAGCCTTGAGGGCGTCGGCGCACGCCGAACCTTGCCTCACTCTCCCTGCCCTCAGGCCGCACGGAAAACGCCACTAAGAACCGGTGGAACGGCGTGTGGCGCAGCAAGGTGTGCCGTGCGGCGTGCTGCTCTGCATTTTCACCGTCCATCCATCGCTGGTGATCACCCCCACGCGCAGTCGCCCCTCCCAGCTGCCGCCCAGCCTCATGAGCGCCGACCGTGTTGCAGGCTGGAGTGTTCTTGTTGACCTTCATTTTGTCCCCTCTGTGCCGATACAAATGTGCTGCAACACCGAAAACCGTCACCAATCGACGGCAATCAATCTACACCATAACCCGTTGCCGGCAGGCTACCAGCTCCACGAGGCGGCGCAACACAGCCCTTACTGCGTACATCTCCCGCCTGCGCGCCGGCATAGACCCCGCGGCTGCGTTTGTGGAGGTCTACCAGATCTACACGCCGCAGCAGCAGCAACAGCTGCAGCAGCAGGGGGCGGCCGGCGTGCAGCCGCCGGGCAGCGGCACGGGGCCGGTGCTGCCGCAGGCGTTTGGGGGGCCTCAACAACAGCAGCGGCAACAGCAGCAGCAGCAGCAGCAGCAGGAGCGGCAGCAGCAGCAGCAGCAGCAGCACTCGCACCCACTGTGGTCAGCCCACGCTGCCGCGCAGCTGGAGCTCGGTTTGGGGTTGGGTCAGCATGCCCCCACTGGTGCGGGTGAGGCAGCTACAGCAGGCGGGCCCCGCTTTCAATTGGGCTTTCAAGCGCCGCCGCTTGCACCTGCCCCGCCCCCAGCTGTGCAGCTCCCGCAAGTCATGCCTCTTGTCACAGGGCTGCCCGACGCGGCACATCAGCAGCAGCAGCAGCAGCAGCAGCAGCAGTACCACCAACAACTCCAGCTGCAAGTGCAGCTGCAGCAGCAGCTGCAGGCGCTCGCACCGCAGCCCGCGGTCGGGCAGCAGCAGCAGCAGCGAGCTGCAGGTATACAGCAGCAGCAGCAACAGCAGCAGCAGCAGCAGCCAGTGCCGAGGCACTCAAGCAGCAGCTCCACGATGCATTTGTCGCCTGAAGGCGGCGGTGGCGGCATCGCAGGTGCGCCTGCTTTGGCGAGCCCGCGCTGGGCCGCCGGCGGCGCCAGCCCTGGCAGCGATTTCGGCGGCGGGGCGACCGCCACCGCAGCAGCCGCAGCCGCTTCAGCAGCCGCCGCGGCGGGTGATGCTGGATTTGACATGAGTGACGAAGACCCAGGGTTTGACGTTCCGATATACCCTGCGCCACTTGACACTGCAACCGTTGGTGCCCTGCGCCAGGTGGTGGCAGGTTCCCAGCAGCTGCTAGAGCTGCTGCAGCCGCCACCGCCGGCGCTGGCGCGGCCGCAGCTTGCGCAGCCGCACGCGCCCATGGATTTCGAATTAGGGCCGGCTGCGCTGGCGGCGGTGAGGCAGCGGCAGCTGCTGTTTGAGCAGCAGCTTGCAGCGGCGGGCGGTGTCGCAGCCACGGCTGTGCCCTCAGCTTCGCTGTGGGGCCCGCCTGGGGACCCCCAGGCACATGGGGGTAGCGGCGCTTTTGCAAGCGGCGTCGGCGGTCATGGTGCTGACGGCGGATACGGCGGGGGTTATGGGGCCGGCGGGGCCGGTCCCGGCCTCAGCCGAAGCTATTCCATGCCCCCCCTCCTGCCCTCGGAGGTCATCGCCCCGCCGCCGCGGCCGCAGGCGCAGCCCCCCTTGCTCGGGGAGATGCAGAGCGCGCCGGCGCCGCTGCCGGCGCTGCGCCCGCACGCGCCGCCGCAGCCGGGCCCGGGCCAGCAGCTCGCGCCGCCGCCGCAGCCGCAGCCGTGGCACGGGCAAAGGGGGGGCGCGCACGTGGCGCGGACGCCGACCGGCGGGGCGTCTGCGCAGTGGATGGCTCAGCTGATGCAGGATTTGGAGGAGGGCGATGAGGGGGAGGGCGGCCTGGGGCTGGGCTCGTGATGTTCGAGCTGGGCCAGGGAAACTGCGGCATGGGGATGCTTTGGGGGTGTGGCTTGGGGAAGAACTGAATCCGGGATTGCAAAACTCTCCCTGCAGGTGCCATTTCTGCATCAGTATGTGCCAACTTTGAGAGTGTATGACGTAATCACCGCCGCACAAGAATATGAGGGCGTTTGAGCACGGTCACCTGTACGTGCATCTGCTCAATTTTGCGATTTGCTTGGGCACCACTCCAGCTGCCCTGGCTGCTGTGCTTCACAGCACCGCGCACCGTCCTCCCCGCCCTGCAAACCGTTGCCCCCCTTTTGTCAGAAAATGGCGTCTTGCCCGCATCCTACATATGCCTGCAATGTAGCTGTGAGGCTGCTGCGAGTGCCACTAGCCTGCCAGGCGGCTGCTTTCACGCACTGCCGTTGCCACGCAGGACGAGCTTTTCTCCTGCCACTGCCATGTGCCATTACCATTTTTCCAGCACCAAAACAGCACAGTAACCAGGTCAACCCTTCACTGCATCATCTGCCCTTGCTGGCCATGCCCTGAAAATCACGTTGGCAGATATGCCACGTTACATGTAAGCTGTGTAATGCACAGATCAGCACTGGTGGTCTTCGGTGCGTCTCCCCTGAACCTGCAGGCGCCATCGGCCCGGTCGGATCATATTAGGGGCTCACGTGCTCTGCAGCAGCCCCTTTGACCGCAGGTACCCATTCAGGGCGTTGTTGAAGGGCTCGATGCTGCGG